GTCCCGCCGCCGCCTTTGAAGTGGCCTCGCGCGCCCCGCGCCCCGCAGCAGCGCCCGGGACCGCAGCCGCCGAGCCACCGCGTCCCCTACGCTTCCGGGACCCGTGGGAAGAGGGGCCCAGGGGGGCGGGCCGCGTCTCGGGGAGCCCCGGCCATTTGTCAGGACAGCGTGGCCTCAGAATTAATAATCTGGAGCCGTGGGCCATTTCCTGACATGTGCAGGGAAGGGCGGGGCAGCCGGCCTGGAGGTGCGCAAGCACGGGAAGGGAGAGCCCGACTGAGTTAGGGGAGAGGTGCGAGGGTGGGCCTGCTCCCAGCACTGGGAGACCTGTGCTGTTTGGGCTTTCTTTTTTTTCCTTTTACTAACCTCCTCTTGATGTCGAACTGAGGGTTCGTGTTAGGAGTCAGCGGAGAAATATGTTGTTCAGTCCCATTTCTTTTCCTTTTCTTTTTTAGAAACAGGGTCTCGCTCTGTCTCCAGTCTGGAAGCGGCGTGATCACAGCTCACTGCAGCCTCGAACTCTGGGTTCCAGCGATCCTCCTGTCTGAGCCTCCAGAGTTGCTGGGGACTACAGACATGCCACCACGCCCGGCTAATTTAAAAAATAGTGGGTTTTTTTGAGACTGGGTCTGGCTATGCTATCCAGGCTGGTCTTGAACTCCTGGCCTCAAGCGAACCTCCCACCTTGGCCTCCCAGAGTAGCTGGGACTGTAGGTGCTGGCCACCTCGCCCGCTGTCATTATTTATTTATTTTTTTGGTATGGATTTTCTGTTACTGTTTTGTTTCTCCTGAGCCCTTAGTTGTCTGTTGTGGTTGGGCCCCCATCCATCCAACGCATGGATGGGGATGTTCTAAAGTTAAAGAGCAAGAAGAAAATTATGCGTAGTCAAAATTATCCTTAAACAGGACTTAAATTACAGTGCACACGAATTATGGATTTAACTCTGAACAGTAATCTTTTTAATGCAAGCTAAAATTTAATAACCACCGAGCTAGATTCTGGAAGAACATATATATATATATGTATGCACGTATATGTGTGTGTGTATATATATATACACAGCATTAAAATAACTATCAAATTCCCCCCAAGTGATTGCGGTGGATGGGGAACTCTAAAACATTTCTATTTGCTGCAAGGTTTACTTCCTCCTATTTTAACATTGAACCTTATAGACTTAACGAATTAACACGTTTGTGGTTGTCTGCACATGTGAAAGCCCATAGCACACAAGTGTCGTATTCAGTAGGTGCTCAATAAGTGTTTACTGGATTCGAACATAAAGCTTGCATGATCAGACCAGTGTGGAATTTCCAGTTTCATGAATATCTTAATATTGGAGGTTGCGCCATTTATTCAATATTCAGCAAATATTTCCTCGTATGATAACTGCCATGTACCAGGCACTGCGCTAGGAACTGGGACTGCAGAGGTGACCAAGAGGTGGACCCAGCATGAACATAAAAGCGTGACACAAATTGCTAAATTCTATGATGGAGTTACGAAGCACAGAAGGGGAACTCTGTGGGGAGGGCTCAGGGCTGGCTTCACAGAGGAAGAAAGGTCAGCAAGCAGCTAAGGCCGGTGACCCATTGCAGGCCACCTGAACTCCATCCAGAACCCTGGCAGGTGGAGAGGACCAGAGTCTTCGCAGCACACTCAGGCAGGGAGCCGCAGGCTGATCCTGAATCCCTTCAGGCTATTCCTGCTCCCTGGGCCCTTGCTCACCTGTAGGAGGGGTCAGCAGGTGGGCTCTGGCCTGTCATTTCTGCTCTCTGGTGCTCTTCCTGGCATCCCAGCAGCCATCAGCTCAGCTAGGGTCAGAGAGGGTTAGAATTAGTGAAGGAAACCCCAGGCAGCAGATCTCAGTCCCAGCAGTCAGGCAGTCGGACTGCTCTGGCCTTCTCTTGGCTTCTAGTCCATATTTTCTCCTGCTTGTCTCTCTCCATTTGGGGGACCCTCCCTCTCTCTCCTTCCATGGCCTCCCAGGTTTTCTCTTTATTAGCCAGTTTTTATTTTTCACACTCAGTAGAAACTATTTAAATATCTTAAGGGCATTTGTTTCAAAGGAAAGATGCCAGGCCTCTAATAGCTATAGGTGGTCACTGGGGCTTTGGGTACTGGGTGGGGCCAGGGGGCAGGGTACTCCTTGAATGGAGAATGCAGGCCCAGCCCAGAGGGGTTAGGTGCTTTGCTTGGAGTAGGAGCACACTGCCTGATCTGGGATCCTCGCTCAGCTACAGCTCAGCCCTCTGACTTGGGGCAAGTTACTTAACTCTCTCGGAGTCTCAGTCTCCAGTCTGCAAAATGGGTGATATAATAACAGGCTTTCTGTATAGGGTTGTTGTGAGGCTAAGATAATGTATGTTTAAAAGCACTTAGTACAATGCCTGGCCTATGATAAGCACTCAGCAGAAGTCAGTACCAATACTATTAAGATTATTATTATTATTATTAATTATTACTAAGCAGCATCCTGTCCATAGTGGTCTGTGAGTTCTAGGAATGCTGAGTCACTGGAGGAAGGAAAGCCACTGGAAGCAGCTTAAGCTTGTTTATCACCCACCAGCAACCTGCCCTCAGCTCCTGCTCTGCCCCAGGCAGAGCCCCTCCATGAGGCTGCCCCAGGGATGACTGGGAAGGCAGGCGTCCTTGGAAGGTCACCTCCACCCATCTGTGCAGATGAAGGGCACTCTGGGCTTGCCCATCTATTTCCTCCTGATCATGGCTGGTTCCATGAGCGTCCCAGGAACACCACAGGCGAGGGAAGCCTGTTAATGAATGGCCACACTCAGGCTGAGGGGTGCTAGGCCCCCTCGAGATAACCAGATGCGGGATTTCTTGAGAGTCTTTCTTTACCAGGTTCCATCTCATTGAGTCCTTTGAGGCTGGTTTCATTTCTACTTTGCAGGAAGAGAACTGAGGTTCAGAGCTTTTCTCAAGGTCTTTGAAAGTGGCCAAGTCAGGTACCCAGGGAAGTGTAGCTACAAAGCCGGAGCTCATTACCTACAGTCAGGGCCAGCTTCATGGGCACCCTGGATTTGGTTTAGTGCTGTGCTGTCACCATCTTCAAATTCTTAATACTTTGGAACTAGGGGCCGCACTGGGCCTGCCTGTACTGTTTCATAGAGAGATGTCTTCCATGCAAAGAAAAGGAAACTGAGGTGCGGAGAGGGACACATGACTGGACAAGGCCACACAGTGAGGAGTCATTGGCTGGGGAGGTGGGGAGGAGTTCTCCCACCTGCTACCACGTCTCCCACCTGGCCCTTCTAGGACCAAAAGGTCCATGTGCTGTCTCCTGGTCTTCCCACCTTTGAGTCCAGGGGCCAGGATTTTTTGAGGGGCTGGGCATAGCCCTGGGCCAATGTCTGGGCAAACAGGGCAGTGACTCAACTCTCTCTAGAGTGGCATGAAGGGGCTAATAGACATGGATGGGGGTGGGCGCAGAGGTGGCCATGGAGTATGACACTTAGGAACCAGACTGCCTGGGCTTTGGCCTGTCCCCTGCCTTCCACTCTGAGACTTGGCAAGACTGACATCCTGTCACAAGATGGATGGGTGGGTGGACAGGAGAGCTCAGATGTCTGTGGCCCATACGCTGTGTAGAATCCTGCATGAAGTACGCATGCGTGTGCGTGTGCGTGTGCGTGCGTGTGTGTGTGTGTGTGTGTGTGTGTGTGTGTGTGTATGTGTTGGAAAGGTGGGAAGCAGACTGAATAGAAAGGACAAAACACCCAGTTCTAGCTGTTTTGTAATTCCAAATATACTGCAGATTGGGGGGAATAGAGCCCAGGAAATACAAAAGTCCTGGGGATGCTTCCAGTCTGGTGAGCAAGACAAACAAACAAATAATCACCCAAATAAATACATATATTCAGTTCCCTAGTGCCCTATTCTTTTCCTCCATGGAGAAATTCCCAGTTTGGAATAATGGGATTATTGGCAATGTGCTTTTGGCAAAATAGAATGTGAACTGCACATCCATCCCAGGTGATGCCACAACAGACCTTGGCGTTTTGGAGGTGTCTGGATTATGGCTGGGAATGAGTGACCTTAAGGTACTCCGAATTTTAACTTACCCGAAATTCCATTGGGGGTCCTCCTCTAAAATTGAACATTATTCTTTTTCTGAGATGCTGTTTGAAATTCAAATCCTTGGGGAGAGTATAGGTAGAGGGGCTGTTCATTGAATTCATAACATGGCAGTGCTGTGCCAAGAAATAGGGCTGCCCGAGGGCCCTGGACCCCAAAACATGCCCCTGATGGGCACAAAGGAATCTTCTCCATCATCCTCTGCTGCTGACTCAGCCCAGCTCTGCCTGCAGAAAGCGGAGCCTAAGTGAGGCAGGGGGAGAGTCAGGCCCAATCAAAACCCAAACCCCAGACCCAGCCAGCCTCACTCTGATAGCTGAAAAGGCCAGAAGCTCCAGGTCAGTCGTACCTGCAGGAGCCAGCTGTATCAGATCTACCCTTCCCTTATCAGGGACAGTCAGGCTTGTCCTCAGTGACAGCTCTGTGGTTGCCCACAGGACTTGACAAGAACTTTCAAGGTTCTTAAAACACACCCAATCCCACCACTGCCCCCCTTCTGTAAGCCTATCAGCCCTCCTGCCCAGGGGCCAAATTTGGCACTCTGTCTGGAGGAAGACGTGGAACCCAGCGACCCCAGAGGGGCTCCCAAGAGAGGGAGAGAGGCAGAGCAAGCTCCCTGTGTGGCTGGAGCACGGCAAGGCGTGCACGAGAATCTGCAAGCTTCCTTCCTTGCCTGCTTCCTTCCTCTTGGTTCCTCCCTCGCGACCTACCTGGGGGCAGGTAATAAAGCAGGAGGAGGGAGATGGATGGATGGGGAGGGCGGGGAGCCACGTGGTGCTACAAAGCCCAGCTAGAGACGGCCTGTCCAGGGAGTGTCCAGCGTGCAGGAGCCAGCGCTCAGGGTGGACCATCAGCCTCACGATCCGGAGCCAGCTCCGGAGAAGCAGGGCCTGGGCGGAGGCCATGCTCCGAGGAGCGCCAGGACTAGACCTCAGGGGCCTGAAGGGGGCCGAGGGCTCAGCGGAGGACTTGGGGAGCTCTTGCCTGGATGTCGGGAGGGAGTGTGGGGTGCTGCGGGAGAACGGCGGCACCCGAGGCGTGGCCGAGGCGGAGGAGCCGGTGGGCAGGAAGCGCGCCCGGCCGGTGCGCTCCAAGGCGCGGCGCATGGCTGCCAACGTGCGGGAGCGCAAGCGCATCCTGGACTACAATGAGGCTTTCAACGCGCTGCGCCGGGCACTGCGGCACGACCTTGGCGGCAAGAGGCTCTCTAAGATCGCCACGCTGCGCAGGGCCATCCACCGCATCACCGCGCTCTCCCTCGTCCTGCGCGCCAGCCCCGCGCCCCGCTGGCCCTGCGGCCACTTGGAGTGCCATGGGCAGGCCGCGCGCGGCGGGGGCGCCAGGGACGCGGGCTGCAGCCCTCCGCGGCCCGAGCCGGCGTCCGCAGGGTCCAGCCTCGCGCGTCGGGACGCTGCCGGCCCCTGCATGCCACCCGCGCCGCGCTGCGCCTCGTGCTCCCAGCACACGGACCTGGGACGGCCCAGGCCACCGGTGGCCGAGGCGCCGAGCTTGACCCAGGCCTCCGGGGGAAGCTGGCGCCGATGTCCAGGGGCTCCCTCTGCTGGGCCGCTTCCCTGGCCGCGAGGCTACCTGTGAGCGAGGCCCGGGATGCGCTACCAGCACTCCTGACCCAGCCACCCACCAAGGGAGTGAGGGAGCGTGCTGGCAGACCTGGAGGGTGGCCTGCCTGGCAGGATGACTACAGAAGGGAAGACTGCAAAAACGTCCTGGACAGAGCAAAACGGAATGGGCTGAGACGTGGGGGATCAGGGGGGCAAGCGGCCTTGCCGGTGGGAAGGAACTCTGGGGACTGGGGCTGTACCCCTACATCCCAGTCTGTGGTGGCGGCTCTGGGAAAGGAGCAGGAGCAAGATCCTGCTTGGCTCTTATGTTTGGGCTTGAACTCGTCTTGGAAAGTGGCCTATGCATTCCTGTGCTCTGAGCCTTATTTTCTCTTGCTGCTTTTTGGGAGAGCGAAGGCTTTTCCACAGGAGGATTTGTGTGTGGCAATGTGGGCGGGCACCTGTGGTGTGGTCTGATGGCACAGTGTGGGTCCCCTTTCTCTGTCTGTGCTGCTGCCCCAAGTCTGATCGGGAGAGGCAGTCAGAAGCAGCCAAATAAAAAGGAAAAGCTATCATCTCTGTCTGCTACCATGACTCCACTGGGCCCCGTGGCCAGGGTGGCAGGAAAGCCTGGAGGCTGGGGACTCACCATGGAATGTTGGGCCAGGGCATAAAGCCCACAGGTAGGTACCTGGGAGCATTGGTTCAGGCAAGATCCCAGGTGTGCTGAGCGCTGTGGAGGGCCCAAGGGAGGAAAGCAACATCCAGAGACGATGTGGGGTGGGAGAGGACATCATTTGGAGAGGGGCAAAGGGACTTGGGAGGTTACGGATGTGGTCAGCCTCATCTCTGGCCTCCCTGCAGAGCTGCCATCTGCTGTGAGCTGAGTCAGGGCCGTCATAAAAGAAGAGTCTGGGCCAATCTCAGGGGAGGAAGCTGAGGGCAGGGCCAGGGATTGGGGGTCTGTAGACCTGCGTGTACCCCAAGTGACAGGCAGGTAGAGCTCTCAGAGCCTCTGTGATGAGGGGCAGACTTGGGATCCAAGAAGGGTTCTGGGGAGGGGGTTGAGGGAAGAGGGGCTTCAGGCCAAGGCGGCCGAGGGAGTGAGAGGCGCAGCCAGCTTCCCCGAAAATCCCGGAGAACCGCCCTGTGTCTAAGATGAGCTGGCGTCTGGCCTAGCTCAGGCTAAGGGGCTAATGTCGCAGGTGTTGCTTGTGGGGCCAGATGCTGAGAACCCAGATGCGCTAAGGGGAGGCCTGAGGGCTTTCTGGTCTCTTTGGAGAGCTCAGCTCAGCATGGGGGGCTCCATGGAAGCTGGAGAAATGCCCTTAGGCATGGACCAGTGAGGGTTCCTCAGAGCGGTTGAGGAGAGGCCCACTGCCGTAATTCAAGATACCTTTGCTTTCTTCAAGCCCCAACGCCGGCTGGCACACTCGGCATCCTGTCCCCAGCCACAGGCCTCAGGGCTCCCAGTTTCACAGTGACGTCTATGGCACAGACCACAGGAAGTCTCTGACTCTGGGGCAGAGAGGGCATGGGGTCCAGTCAGGGTCTGGCCCCAGCCCTGCTCACCGAGCCTGACAGCGCCACGGTCTGACAGTGGAGAGGAAAGAGCCAGATCTGCCTGGGACCCGACCCTTGCTCTGCCACCTCTCTCAGCCTCTGACACGGATCACTATCCCACCTCAGGGTGGCTGTGAGGATTGACACTGGTTCACAATGTGCAGTTTCTGGCAATTAGCAGGTGCTCCACAAATCCTTACTCTTTGCGTATGCTTAGAATCTTGTGCGGGACCAGCCTGACAGTGCTTCAGCCTTGTTTCAAGCCTCAGGTGTTTATTCTTTGGAAACGTGATAAAATGGCCAGCAAGTCCCGCTTTCCTAACCTCCAGGATTGAAAAGAAATCAGGGTTCTTCTCACCCAGCTGCGCTCTCAGCCCGGGAGCAGTGAGGGCGCCCTCTGCAGGTGGAAGTGTGGCATGCGGCAGCCGTGTGTGCAGCAAGAGAGATGTGACAGTCGGGACTTCTGTTTTCTCACTCTGTCCAGCTGAGTGACCTTGAGCAAATCACCTAGGCACTCTGAGCCTTAGTGTTCTCATCTGTATAATGGACTAAAATAAGTTCTTACAGTGCAGACTAAGTAAGATAATACCTTAAAAGCACTTAGCATACTGCTTGGCCCACATTAAGCCCGCACTGAATGGCAGCCGCTAAGACATTCTATTCACAAGGTTGTTATAAGGAGATAATGCATGGGAAGGTGTTTTATAAACTTAAAATTTCGAAACACATTAGCTATTATCATCGTTTTACCAGGGCTATGTGTTTGGCTGCACACATCATATATTTGCATGCTGATAGGTATTTGCTTGACATTCTGAGGCTTTTTTAAAACTTGTACACACTTTGTGTGTGCTTATATAGATATATGTCTGTGTGAATGTTTTTGTGTGTATACGTATACATATCAACCTAACACATACCCCTCATCTCCCTGATGATGTGGGACAGCAGTCCCCAACCTTTTTGGCACCAGGGACCAGTTTCATGGAAGACAATTTTTCCACGGACTGAGGGGAGGGGGGGGTGAGGATGGTTTTGGGATGATTCAAGTGCATTACATTTATTGTGCACTTTATTATTATTAATTTGTAATATATAATGAAATAATGATACAAACCTCTCTGCTAATGATAATCTGTATTTACGGCCGCTCCCCAGCACTAGCATCACCGCCTCAGCTCCACCTCAGATCACCAGGCATCAGATTCCCACAAGGAGCCACAACTTAGATCTCTCACATGCGCAATTTACAGTAGGGTTCATGCTCCCATGAGAATCTAATGCTGTCACTGACCTGACAGGAGGCGGAGCTTATGCAGTGATGTGAGCGATGGGGAGCAGCAGTGAATACAGATGAAGCTTTGCTCCCTCACCTGCTGCTCACCTCCTGCTGTGCAGCCCGGTTCCTAACAGGCCACGGGAGTAGGGGGTGGGGGTTGGGGACCACAGTTGTAGGGGATCCTAGGCTAGAACAGCCTTTATTATGTGCCTTCCAAGTTTTCTGGAACCCTTGCTTGATTTTTTAATCTGCTTCCGAAGATCATATCCATTCTCCAAGATGACTGATTTGCTGTGAAGAAAAATGAATTTGTGAGGTGTTTTTTTTTTTTTTTCTTTTTAGACAAGGTCTCACTCTTTCACCCAGGCTGGAGTACAGTGGCACAGTCATAGCTCACTAGAGCCTTGAACTCCTGGGCTCAAGCAATCCTCCTGCCTCAGCCTCCCAAGTAGCTGGGACTACAGGCTCTCACCACCATGGCTGGCTGATTTTTCTTATTTTTTTGTAGAGATGAGGTCTCACTATGTTGCCCAGGTTGGTGTCAAACTGGACTCAAGCAATGCTCCTGCCTTGGCCTCCCAAAGTGCTGGCATTATAGGTATGAGCCACCACACCCAGCCAAATTTGTGATTATTAAAGAAATGGAGGTTATCAACCAAGACCAGATGTGTTTGTCCAAATATAGGGGAAAAGTACAATGATATACATGAAATGCGTATAAAAAGAAAAATGCCAGAAAGGGAAAACACACATATAAGACAGAGCTGCTAAATTATGGCCAAAAGATATGAAGAACTGATAGACACAAAGAAAAAAAACACATATATATATATATGGTTAATACCAACAGTGCACTCAAAAAATGGTGCTCAAATGAGAGTTAACTTTTAAAGGGCAGGTAACAATAGCAATTATTACAGCACTTTTAGCAGCTTTACGGCTCACAAAAGGCTGTTGCCTGCTCAGTCTCTTGGCTCTTTTTTTTTTTTTTTATTTCAGCATATTATGGGGGTACAGATGTTTAGGTTACGTATGTTGCCCTTGCCTCCCCCCTTCCCCCCAAGTCCGAGTTTCAAGCGTGTCCATCCCTTGGATGGTGGGCATTGCACTCTTTGTGTATGCAAATACCCGTCCCCTCCTCCCCCCTTGCCCCTCCCCCCTGCCCGACATCCAGTAGATGTTATTCTTATATGTACACTTGTGTGTTGATCAGTTAATACCAATTTGATAGTGAAAAATATGGAACGCTTCACGAATTTGCGTGTCCTCCTTGCGCAGGGGCCATGCTAATCTTCTCTGTATCGTTCCAATTTTAGTATATGTGCTGCCGAAGCGAGCACGTCTTGGCTCTTCTTAGGAAGCTTTCCAACCCCTTCCTTTGCACCAGCTGCCTTCCTCGCAGGGAACAGCCCCTGCCTCTCTAGCAATGAATGAGACATAGCAGCAAAAACAAATAGCAATGATAAAATGCAATGTTTTCAGGGATGTGGAGAAAAGGGTACATTTTACAGATGTCTAGCTGTACCGTCTATCTGTTCCTTTTTTGATAGAGAACAATTTGGCAAAATTACCATAAACATATTCTAAGGGGGTAATCCAAAAGAAAAAACACATTTGCAAAAATGTGGTCACGCAGCCCTATATGTCATAGTGAAAGATTTGAAACAACACAAATGCCTAAGCATGGAGGTGTGGCAGAGCAACCTCTGTTATTCTGACAAAATGAATATAAAGGTGAGTTAAAAGAGCACATCACAAAACAGTCCATGTTGCCAGTTATTACTCAGACAAGCAAGTAGGTGTGTGAACAGATCTGGGGAAGCTTGGAGGGATAAATGCAGCTTCATTTTCATTAGTGTCTTCATAATTGTTGCTAAAAGGGGAAAGCTTTATCTCCTCAGGATAACTCCAAAGAGGAGTAGGGGTATGTTTTGAGCAAGGACAGAAAGGACAAAGTAGCCCCAGTGGGTTCTTTTGAAGGGACCTCCCCTTGCTGGGTGTGAAATTCTGGGGTACTTGTTAATGGGAGCATGATCACATCAAGTTTTCCTCACACTTGCACAAGTGTGTGTGTGTGTGTGTGTGTGTGTCCCCAAAGATGCCAGGAGGCCTCTGTGGCCCCTGAAGCAAGGTGAGCTGGGCCTGGGAAGGCTTCAGCGAGAAGAGGAGGTTGCTGAGTCACCAGCTGCCCT